ACTCTCTGATGAGGATGTCACTTGAAAAATATTCACTATTGTAGTGTAATACTCTATCCAAGTTCCAAAGATTAATGCCTATATAAAATTTTATTTATTAAAAATTATTCAAAACTAAAACATCAATAACTATGAATATAAAAAAAGAAAAATAAATTACAAATATTCGCGTCTGCTTTATAAGAGATATGTTTGTTTTCAAAGTTTTATTGGAAACTTTTTTACATAGTCTTTATGATATCATTTATAAAGCACTTGCTAATAATGAAACTAAACATTAAATTTCATCTGATAATGGTTGATAGAGACACGATACACAAAATACATGTATTGGTATATCTGTATCTCGTAGTGGTATGAGTTAGAACTAAAATAAAGCCAGTCAATTCAAGAAAATCGTATTCAAAATTCTAGTTGACTTTGTTGATTTTACGGAGCATAGAAAGCACAATAGTATCTATTCTATAGTAAAAATTAAAACATTTTTGCTTTTGTAAGATTTTTTAATTGTAATTATATAAAATTTTGATATGAGTAATAAGCGTAAAGTTAAACTCATAATCAAAACCATTTTCTATTATGTGTTTATTTGCTTTAACATAAGGCAAGTACTTAACATATATATGTCAACTCATAGAAACCAACGAAAATCGATCTGTTTATTCTTTCCTCCAATTAACCTTCAAATAACTCAGAATAAAAAAAAATTGAAATCGTGCTTTTGTTTTATGTTTAACATATAGTCAATATAATGCATAACAGAGAATCAGTAAAATATTAAATATTGTTATTTATTGTAAGTAGAAGTTAGAATCGAATGTAATTACCTTGAGAAAAGTAATATTAAAGTCAATTATTTCTATTTATTTAGATCCTTATTTCACTTATTCTGAAGCTTACATAAAATGGCCTAACGTAACAAATTGTACGAATTATTGTTACACAGCTTTTGTTACACTACATGGTTGCAAAGAACCCAATATTTCATCTGATCTCTTATCTGTACTTAAAGCTAATGCCGGTAAACCAGCTATACAAACACCCGGTATGGGTGGCATGAAACATATTAATGACACAAGTGTAACATGTTGCTATCCAGATAGCAAACCTTCACCCATTCATCCACTCTTATGTGAACATAATTCAGTGAAATGATTTTTTTTTTGTGATGCATCGTCCAAAATTTAACGTGATCGCATTTATATAACTTAGTTTTTGCTACAAGAGTAATATTTATTTGTTGAAATGAAGAAATAATATATTTTTATAATGATTATTTTTTTAGCAGTTCGTATTATAGATAAAGAAGAAATTATATGACACTTATCTTTTTACAAATTTCATGAAAATGACCCGTTCTATGTTTTTGATATTATTTGAGTATTTTTCGTGTTTTTCAAAAAAGTAGTCGGATGTTTAAACAATGTTCAATAAATGTGTCGTATATTATATCGAGAAACATGAATTACACTGTAATGTGTTTCCCAATGGACTTTCGGAAATTGTCGAAAGTTCACTATAAAATTCATGTTATTCATTATATCATGTTTGCTGCATGAAAATAGTATAACGTCAAAGCGATTATATAGTAAAGTATATCCTGCGATAATATTTTGATATTTTTAGAACTCTAGAAATCTTTTCGATAACTTATTATTTATTTGAAAAAATTTCACGGTAAAACACATATCAAAACTCTTCATTCTATGAAAGATCGGAAGAACAAAATATACTGATCATTGTTACTTTAATCCAATAATATATATTTTATAATGTTCAGCTGCTCTCAAACTTAAGTTTTCAATATCTAAACAGTAATCAAAAGCTAATACAATTAACGCATTGACGAACAAATTGATAAAATTTCAAGTGTAGTTAAATAATTAAACTGAAAACTATTAAGATTCACATTGAATAACAAAAACTATTATTGTGTATACAATGAATAAATATCTGCCGTAATAGCTGTTAATTCTGTGCCACATATTTGCGCGTCAATGGACATCATATTTCTACAAATTCAACTATTTAAACCAGAATTTCTAAGTTGCAAGATGATGTCTGTAAACACAACACTAAAAAAAGTTTTTTATTGAAATCGACTAAAATAGGTTTTCGAGTGCTCGGAAACCGAAAAATATTTCCGGACCGATTTCTGAAACCAAAATATGTTTCCGGACTGATTTTGGAAACATTTAAAAGTTTCTTGAAATTAAAAAACGGGTTTCCAAACTTCGGAAACCTTTAAAAGGTTTCAGATAGTGACAAAATCAGAAACTCTGAAGGATTACTGAAAAAAATGATCCGTTTTTGAAAATCCGAAAATCATCTAGGGTTTCAGATTTTAACAATATCTGGAACCCTTTAAAGGTTTCCAAAGTTCGAAGACACATTTTTTAATTCCAAAAAGCTTTCAAAAGGTCTCCGATATCAGTTCGAAAATCTATTTAGATTTCGGAACACTCGAAAACCTGTTTTGGTCGGTTTCTAAAAAAAAAACTTTTTTTTAGAGTATATGTAGATATCATTACCTTTCCAAAATAGAATCAATGTGTTCGAAAAAGAAAAGAAGGAAGAATACCCCTTGGCTTCTCGGCTACCTTGCGGTATGGAGTGCTGTCTAGCGACAGATCTAGTAGCTCGATATCTTCCCTACAACTCTAACTAGCTATAGATCTGAACAGAAAATCAGCCGGATGCAAAGTTTTTGCGCTCAACTACTTGCGCTCTTTATACATACAATCTAACGATATAATAGCCACAAGAGCAGGTATATATCATCAACGTAGTCAGCATGTTATCGAACTAGTAATTCGAGACAAACAGCTGTTAGTGACTTGTCGAGAGTCATTCAACGGCTGGTGGTACTGAGGTGTGCACATGGTACCTTGTGGATACATGTCAAACAACATAGTCGCTTCGCCACAATCTGTTCGAATAAATGTGGCAGAATTTACTGAATCCTATTTAATTCTAATATAAAACTTATTTTGAAGAGAAGTAAAAAATTCAAGGAATAATTTTTAAACAATAGTATTAATAATCTTTTAACGGATCTTGCTAGTTGATGTATGATAAAGATTATGAAATGGAAATATTGATAACTTCTAAAGAAATTTAATGACAGAGGATTTGTTGTAAACACTATATATATTCATAAGAAGAAAAGAAAAGAATTCATGATCTTGCTTTTAGAAGAAAGAAAGCAATCATCGAAAATAAAATCTAATAATTCAAATATTCATTTCTTCCACACTATTATTGACAGAATGAAAAGATTTAAAGTCAAACAAATCAACGAACATTTGTATAGTTATTCTCTACCATAATGCCATGTAAGTTTTATTGGTAATCAATGTTTGATGCAGAAAAGACGAATTTTGCCCATGAAAAAGTAATCATTCACAACCCCTATATAAACTTTTATGAAATGTATGTCAATCAATCGATCATATGTCGACAAATAAGTCTCTATTCATTCGAATTTTTTTAATATTTCTATTTTTTGTAATCATCTATCAACAATGGAATAGTTCTTTAACAGATGATGTACCAAATTTCTTTTCACAACATATTCGACGTTCAATCAATCGAAGTCATTATCCAAAAGAAGCTTTTGTCACTTTTACAAATTCACGACCACAATATCTCGAATTACTTGATGTACTTCTTGATTCTATTCATTTATTTTCTAAACGTCCAGTAATTATTTTTTCTATTGATTTTGATTTAATAATTAATTTTACACGACATCCACGTGTTACAATAAAACGAATATCACAAAAAAATTGTGGTCCAACAATATTTGCTTGTAAACTTTTAGCTATTGTTTCTAGTGAATTAAATTATGGTATACAACTTGATATTGATTCCGTCGTTAATTATAATATTGATCTACTTTTTGATATGCTGCATGTATGGCCATATAATCTGCCCTTAGCACCTAAACATCCAGATGATCCTAAAAACTATAGATTCTATATGGAACAAAATAAAGTAAAGTATCGAACAGTACCATATATGCATGCTTCATTTGTATGGACTTATCGAGCTTATCCATTTATTCGTCATGTTTTAACCCTTATGCAACATGGAGCTTTCATGGGTGCTAATTATGATGAAACAGCCATGAATGTTATGTTGTGGAAAGCTAAAACAAATCATACATTGTGTAAATATGATCCATATGGTCCACTTTATCTTGAAAAGTATGAAAAACCACAGAAGTCACCCGCATGTTTACCTTATTGTGATGGAGTCTATCTTGTTTTTCATGGTCAAAAAGACAGTTTAATTTCAAAAAATATATTGGAACGATTATATAAACTTGGTCCTAATCGACCATTTGTTCAAACACCTCAAGGTGTAAAATGGTTTAATGACACAAATGTTACATGTTGTCATCCATCTGCCACAAGACCATCACCATTGCATCCATTGCTCTGCGAATATGACAAGTTTAATATGACATAAGTCTTATGTTTTTTTTTCAATGTGTTATTATTTAGACATAATCAACAAATAGATAAGATTTTGTGCTTTTTTTTCTATACAAGCATTAGATTTCTATCAGATAGATTGATAGATAAAATCAAATATGGACATTTTTTAGTGTAATATATTTATGCGTTCGCTGTACTAATGTACTGAAATTATTAATCTTACATACATGAAACATAAAAGTTATACTATTGAGATAGTATGATTCACCACATATTTAAATTTTCAGAGAACATTCTGTCTTTGATATTGAATAAAGTACAATTTTCTCTAGAAATATTGTTATAAGTTTTTTTTTAAAATTATTTGTATATCCTAATTTAATTTCTTTAATATCATTATATTTCATCAGTAGAGTCGTATGTATTTTGCAAAATCAACTTGTTATATCATTAATTTCCATCATACTTATATAATTACTTAGTTTTTTGTGTTTTATTTTGTCAAATAGTTTATTATGATTAAGTTACAAACAAATCAAGTCTGATTCCTTAAATCGATTAAAGCGTTGTTGATATAAACTGATATACAAATGAACCAATAATACCGAAAAAACAACCGGCAAATATAAATAATTGTAATATAACAGCTGCTGTGGCTGACAGATATGGTTCTACTGATCTATATGAATATAATAAAAATAATAATAATAATAATAATTAACTATCGAACAAAAATGAATTCTAATCTTACTTTGCTGTTAACATTTGTAGCATTGAATTTAAATATCCATGCGTAAATCCAAAGACAATGATAAGTGACATAAAAACATAATCATTACGAATCAATACTGGTAAATTATGTCTTGAATTTGGTTCGAAATTAACAAAAAGAAATATAATCAATACTATAATTGCACGAATCAAGACCAAAAATGAAATCCATCGTGAATATGGCTAAAATCAAACAAAATATATTTCATATAATTGAAATAATTTATAGAATAATTTACTTTTTTAATGCAACCTGCAAGAAAATTGCCGACAAGATTAAATAAAGCAAAATTGATCAAAACAACTGCATCAACAAATTGAAGACCTATTATAATAGCAAAAAAAAAAAAAAAAATTTTTTTTTAACAATAAATTTTATTTAAGAATTATTTTACTCGTATGAAAAAAATTTGGTGTTATACTTTGCACTTGAATGAGAATACTAGGGAAAAGAGTTACTGTCGATAAATAATGTAACCAAATAGAAAAACATTGAAGCCATATCTAAAAATAAGAATATTATTCTCAATCATAATAATACGAAAAAAATGTTTTTTTTTTAATTTTTTTATATACTTGTTTCAATACGTTTCCATACGGAATATTGAGTAAACGTCCTTTTATCGTATGTAATATATCTATTTTTATTGATGTATGATAAAATCGAAATAAACGCTATTTTAAAATAGATAATTTATATAAATAGAATGAAAATAAATTAAATACTATTGTACGAACCGAATAAGGAAAAGCAAAATAAATATCAAAGCAAAAAAGAAGTGTAACAACAGCTGTGACAAGAAAATAAATTGCAGTCACTCTAGGATCATTCGAGTCTAGAAAAGAAAAAAAGCATCAAAGAAATGCAAAAAATCTAATGACTAAAACAATAAGTACGAAGAGCAGAAAAAAAATGTTGTTTCTTCAAGGACTAGAACATATCAAAATTTTTTATGAAGTATTGTTCATTATTCTAAATGATTATTCGGAAACTATTTGAGTATTAGAATGAACTTCGGAAATATTTAATTCTGTCTGATTTCCTCTGTGACTCAAAGTTAACTATGAAAAAGTTACATTTATTGTCTTTTCATTGTAACAAGGGATCAGTCTGGATTTCCGTTGAATAGAACTTAATTAAACGAGTTCAGTTAGTCTCTATTTAGTATCTTGTTTATTTTACAATGTGATGAGTTTCATTTTCAAAAAAAGTTTATGTTTCGAATTTTTCGTCAAATATTTAACCTAAAAATGTACACATTAATCAGTTTGAAACATTTTGACACTTCCTCTTGCTATATACGATAATCAATAATTTCGAAAAGATTTCTTTTTTTCAAATTTACATATGAAGGAAAAAAACTTCTTCGATATTTTATCATATTCTGAACATTTTTTGTCTAGTATTTTTTTTTTATAAATATCTTCAAATAATTTATATAAGTATATTTTATTATTATTATTTTTTTTACATATACTTACAATATTTAAAAGCAATCCTACTACAAATAGCAATCAAAATACCAAGTGACTAGATGTTCCAAAAAAAAAAGGAATAATTTTTCAATCGTTAATTTGTAATCATATTATAGTTCACACCTACTGTGCCTATAACAACTGCATTCACATATCGATCAGGAAAATATGCAACAATGCCTGAGACACTTGATAGATAGAGACCGATAAAAGCTATATAATAAATATACAATAAAGTTAGATAAAAAGAAACTATTAAAATATATATTCTTACCTCCAATTACTACAATATTAAGAATTGTAATACAAAGAAAAATCCCTGAGGCTATAAAAGAAAAATATTAAAGTTCTTTTTTTTTCCAAGGAAAAGTCTATTAAAACTTCTTACAATCACGAGCATCGAATACGGCAAAAAGCACCTGCAGAATGAACATAATAATGAGCACAACAATTGATGGAATAACACGCCGTTTCGTATCGCCACTGTAGAAAATAGAAGTATAATTGCTTTTATTTTTTTTTTAATAAAAAAAAAAAAGACAAAATATTTACTGGAAACCAATAAAAAGGCCAATACCAGTAGAAACTAAAGCCGCAAGTAGAGCAGCTAGAGCGCAAAAACTTAAAAAATATTGACGATAAATATCCGAATCATCACCAAGAATTTTGCAACAAACAAAATACTAAATAATATATAGAAAAAAATCATAATAATCACAAAAATTGTTAGTAAAATTATTTTATAATTAATATTTATATGTAGAAATATAGTTTTTTCAATTTTGTATATAAATAATAACAAAAAAAAAAGCAAACATAATTAAATACGATTTAATGATATTAATAGAAAAAAAAACCTTGATTAAATTTAAGAACATACTAATCGACTTACTTCATAACTATGAAATAATAAATTCCATGGTAAAAAACAACCAAGGCCATGGATGACAAATGCCAAAAAGACGCCAAAACATCTATTTTTTCAACAAAAACTATCACAAAATCTTCACATAATAATATAGGTTTTTTTTTACCTATCACTAGGTACTCGATCAAATGTATCGGATGTAATTACGATCGTATCAACTGGTTTACCAAGCATTATAATATTGTTTTATTTTTTTAATCTTATTCTTCCTTCATTGTTTATATACGAAATTTTTTCTTATTCATATAGTCGATTAGAATAAATTGCATGTAATCTATTGAATAACTATTGCTTATAGAACGATAATTGTAGTTGACTTCATTGTTGGACATACTAGAAGAAGAAGAAGAAACACAAGATAATAATGACTACAACAACATAAATAATAATACTGAATACTGATTCATGCGTAAAACTCAAAGTCATTTTCTATGTTTTCTTTGTTCATGCGATTGGTACCACAAATAGATCTAAAGGCAGTCGTGTTCTTTATTCGTTCTCTTCCTCGTTCTTTTTTTTTTTATTTGACTAGTTCCTTTACATAAAGCTCTGGCATGCAAGAAAACGAGCGAATACTAATAGTGCTTTTGTCTGTCTTGTGTCGTGTTCTGTTTCCAGTGACCTTCACCAAATATCGAGATAATTGCAAAGCAATCTTCTCTCTTTCATTTTTTTCTCTTGTCTTTACTTGTTTGTTACTCATAAGATGTTTCTCTTGTCATTCCATTTATTGTTCTATCCATCAATATTCTGATGCATAAAAAACATATAAAATTTCTTTTGTCTACTTCCCTGATAGATCGAAGTTAATCGTAAACATTCAGTCTTTATAATAAGTATACGTTAATAATCGGTCTCTTATCGAAAGGAAAAAAACAAATAACGACATTTTATCATCTCGAAGATGTTACTCCACAATAGATACTCCTCAATCAATCTTGTACTATTATATGTGTCACTTTTTCATACGCCTCAAGGCTTCTTTAAATAGACAAAAAAAAAAAAGAAAGAACAAAGGATAAAGAAAAAGCAAGTAGCAGATGCCTACTAGTTGAAGAGTACTATTTCTCAATCAATACTACTTATGATTTACTTTTTTCTCTGTATATATATGGTGCAATAATGATGACGTGACGTACTAGCCATATATATGTATGTACATGAAGGAGGAGAAGAATAAGAAAGCAGGAAAAAAAAAGATTACATTGCAACATTTAACAATGAATACAATACTGAATGAAAAAAAAGAAGAATATGTAAAGAAAGAAACCACATTTTTTATGTAGAAGCTCTCATAAATATTAGTAATTAACTCTATCACTAAAATATTTATAACTTACGTTCGTATAATAGAAGACCTGTTTAGAATAACAGTTAAAAAATGGTAATACAGAACATTAAATATTCGTTGAAATATTAATTATCTTGAAAATATAATATGAAATATGATATAACATCCAAGTATTCATATTGAAAGATGTTAAATTTTGTGAATTTTTATACAAACATGAATATGTATCTTAATATTTCTCTACCTCATTCTTGTTCTCTTCTCCTTTTTATTCAGCTAATCAGCATTCTGTTTTTTTTTTCTAACACCTAATTCCTTTCTAGGTAGAATATAACATATCCTTCATCATTCACATTCTGACAAATAAGCATACAAACATAAGGAACTCTCACGAAAGTCAGTTATAACATAAATGTGTAAGAAAAGAGAACGTAACCGCAACAAAAATTTATTGTACCCGAAAAAGAAAATAGAACAACAAAAAAAGAAAAGAAAAAAGAAGATCAATATTTAAGTGTTATCGAATGATGAATGATACCCATAGAAAGTAACCGTAATGAAATTCAATCTCAAATTATTTGGTCTTTCATATTTCGTTTTAATTATATGGATGAATAAAAAAACAACATATCATTTAATTTCATTGCATGAGTGATGATTCTTTGCCTTCTGGAGTCGCTGCTCATCTCCGACAACTTATCTTAGTAACATAACATTGAAGATTAAGAAGAATGAGACATGTCAGGAAAGCAAATAATAATAAAAAAAAAGAAGAAATATTTTATCTTTTACAACATGGAAAACCACCTTTCTATCTTTTCTCTTTTCTTTGGAGAGAATTAATGGATGCCTTCTGCTTCTTCAATTTCTACTTGCCTGAAACTTTATTATGCAATAGTCATCATTGCAATTATCATGTGGATACAACAGTTAACATGATTCTTGTTGTCTGTGTGAATGCAATCGTTATTATATACTAATCGTTTTGATCAACTTGTGTACACATACATATATATATATATATATAAATATATATGTAGTATTGATGGGCACGCTCACCACTATCTTTACACTAGTGCATCAATATGAAGTATCAAAAAAGAAGAAATAAATGATGTACAAATATTGAGCAAGAAGACGGCAAATGAAGTTGTATGTATATAAGTGCATGAAGAAAAGTGTCAAGTAGGCCGAACAAGGACAAGTGTTCACTTATTTTCTTTGCATACATTTTACTTGTTCATAAATACAATTCTGTATAGATTACATCACAAAAAAAAGAAGAAAGTTGACACTTATACGATCTTATAATTATATTGATCATTATTATCGTCATGAGAAGTCTCATTTTTTTTTCTTCACATCGATAGACACATAGTAAAAACTAAAACATTCTTAAATGTTAAGACACTTTTTTATTATATGTACATTAAAACACGCAAGATCTTATCGTTAATAAAAATAAAAATAAAATCGTTTTTTTGACACCTATATTAACTATTACGATTGTATAAAAATCTATTGCGTGACCAATATCATATTGCACATGTCTCTGTAGGTGATCATTTGAACACAGTTGTCTAGATGATTGAGTGAGTGACAATAAGTTAGTGAATAAACAAACTTACACATTATGTGAAGAAGGATCGTTATATCAAGTGAATAATTTCTAAACGTCAATATAATTTAGATGATTGATTGCATGAAATCTATTACATAAGAATAAAACGAAAATATTTGAGACTATAACCTATGAAATCAAAGTTAATAAACAAAAAAAAAAGAAAAACTATCTCCTTGAGAAAATACAATGCTTTTAATATTTATCAGTTCTTTACTTAAGACTGTGTAATTATGCTAATTCAAAAAGAATTTCATATTCTAATATTTCTAGAAGAATTCAAATGATTAATCATACCATCTATAGAACTAGAAATGTATCACTTTAAATTGTAGTAATGCAAATTTAACGAACATCACTCCTGTAATATGTCGTAATCTGATAGATATCACTCCATCATCGAAACGTTTAAAATATTGATTGATTTTTTTTGTCACTTATTAGAAATATTCTTTTATATAAGAGATTATCATAATCCATTGCTTGTAAGACATAAATATGACTTGATGCAACTAAATTTTTTTTATCGTTATGAATTTTTATCTATTGGTTTTATTAGATCATTCCAACGTATTGATATATATATATATATAGTTATGTGTTTGTGTGTGTTGATTTCCACATAATTCATTATCCTTCAAAACAGGGGTATCAATCAATGAGAAACAGATCAATGAAATGGCCATGATAGTGGCAGTGGCTAGAATGACAGCTGTTGGTATCTCTCAGCTAAAATACGTCATCAAACATATCAAGTTGGTAATATTTCTTTTGGCAAAGAACGAACATTTATCTTGTCAATTCTCGAAGTCAAAAAAAGGAAATTACGATGCTATAGAATAGAATCTTATCTTTGTAAAACGACTGAGTTAAAATTAAGTATTGACAGATAAAAGGAAAATATATTTGTCAATCTTTATCATAAATATAATTATCTGGTAGAATTAAGATTAATAATCACAAAAAAAAAAGTAAATAATCTTATAAATTTTTTTTTTCTATTTAATTCTATCTCTTATATTAAAGAAATATGATCAACATTAGTTCTCATTTTCTTCCCATGAAATTTTTTTTTTGCAATCGAATACTTAAGCAAACATTGCAATCACGAATAATTTACATTTTTACCTTCTTTCAATATATTGTATCCAAATTATTCTACTGCTGTTAGTATTATTCTTCTGTTTTGCATAACAATCAATGAAACAATCATATCATGCATTTATTTATCATCGTTATTATCCAATATCAATTGACATTTATCCTATATTGGATAGTATCATTCTGTCTTACTAATGAAAAGAAGATCAAAACAATCGTTATAGTTTGTTGTTATGACAGATATAGTCTAATAGACCTTGGAAGTATAACAACAGAAGATAAATAGATTTATCTAAAATGCATATGAGAACAATTGATGATCAAATAAAAAGATTATACTATTCAAAACTTATATTATCACTAAGTAGTATTAAAAAATGTTTATCAAATAGATCAATTTCTTCAATATCATTGTCATACAATGAAAATGCTTTCAATTTAACAATTAAACTCTATTATAGATTAAAGAAATAATAAACACTTTAGTCTATTCTTTTCAAAATTGTCGTTTTTCTTATTGTGTTTTACACATTGAACTGATTTTATTATTCACATAGAATGCAGTTTGTATGACAGATGTGAAATTTTACTCAAAAATGTTCTGTATAAAAAAAAACGTAACATTGATTAATCTCGAGGCTATCTGATCAGTATTATGAGTCAAATATAGTACATCAGCAAACATTACTTGTGTGTCATTGGTAATCAAGTCAAGGATCTTCACGCCATATCTCTAATAGACTACTGTACTGTTAATGCTTATTGATCAAGTCGACTGCTTATCAAGCATAATTTTCTCTAATGCATTGTAAAAAACAAGAAAGAGATTACAAAAACCGAAACTTAGGGCTTAGTATCTGTCATCATGTGAATAAATACAATTAAAAGCACTAAGATATACATCGTACATCAAAAAGAAATATCATAGAACTAGACCTTGCATATAATACAGCAAAAAGAAAGATGAGTTGTTGTAATCTTTATCAATATTGTTAATAAAATTCAAACAATCTTAGATAACATTCTTTCGAATATAACAAATATAAAAAATAATTTTTATTTATGATTTCACTAGTACAAAAAGAAAAGCATAAGATTCTATTGAAATAAATGCTTTGCTTCAATCAATATGTTGTAGAGTATTTTTAAAAGCAAACTTTTATTGATGTTCTTATTTCTAACTACAATATATACATATATATACACACATATCGTTTTTTTACTGAACAAAAAAAAATGTTCAAATCATTTCTTTTGACAACTGCTGCAGCTACTTTCGCCTGGTTTATGATCGGATATACCAGAGCTGCATTTGTTGCTTTGTTGTTCCGTATTTGAACGAGATTGATCTTCAGCATATGTATGAGATTGTGGTTGCGTTGCTGGATTATCTGTCACATTTTTCATTGTACCACCTTCGGATTCACGATTGGCACCTGTGCTTGACATTGTTTGTTTGTCTTGTTTGATTTGTTCGTTTGTAATGACTTGAAACAAATATAAAATGAAAGAATATATGTGAAATCGCTGCATTTTTATAGGTCTCATTTAAAGAAACATCGTAAAAAAAGAATTTTGCGTGTTTCTTTTTTAACGAAGAAAAGTCAATCAGTACAATATTTCGATACTTGTTCTGTTCTTTCTAAAATTATTGCATGTTGAAGTCACGTGTATTCTTAAAATAAAAAATAACTATTCAAAATGTACTGATCGTACATTTTTACAATTGTGTATAGATTTAATAGTAAATGACGAATAAAAAAATTTATGACACGTGATATATATCAGACAGTACACAAAGTTGAACGAGGACGAAGTTTTATACTCAAAGATTTTTTTTGATTTGATATCTGATAATAATACGAATCATCTATCATTCAAAATTATTTAATAGTATGATATCTTGATGTTATTTGAGTCAAACCACAGACGTGAATACTATTCAACGAGTTGATGGATTCAAAACAACACATTGAACTTTTTTGAAAATAATGTGTTTATATGAAATTAGGAATTGTATTTCTTATGAAAATAAAATTTATATTTTAAAATTTTCGAAATCACAAATGAGTGTTGTGTTAGGCTCTTTCTTAATAAAAACTTATTTTTACGTTACAGTCAATATGTAACGTAAAAAGTATTTGAAAGAATTGAATTGTGTTTTAACAAGTTTTAAAACTAAATGAGAATTATAATGATATTCTTCACACTTTCTACTTTAGAATTTTATCTTCTAAATTTTCAAATAACTATAAATAAATATTTGTAGTTCTGTCAATGTTGATTTGAAGTCTTGAACAAATATTAAAAATTTTTTATTTCTAATTCTTTTTTTCTTAACTATATTTTTTTCGAATTTTTGCAATTCCATAGAGACTTTTTAATCAATTACCAAAAAGTCGCCTTTGTTAGATTAGATCAGAGCTTAAAAAAAGACTCTCTCTATTCTGGCATAATCAGAAAAAAGATTCTGAGAAGAAGGATTCAGCATCTCATTAATCTTTTCTAGAAGGAACTCATATCACCATTCATAACACTCAAATTTTCTAGACAACAGATGATAATACTCGAGTATTCTCAGAGGGCAACTTAATCTTTTCTAATCACACTCTTCATACTAATCAAGTACATAAACTTGTATGAAGCATCCTTGATTTATGCATTAAGTAGGCCTTTTTATTTGTTACTTTGGGAGTATTATGACACTGAAAAACTGCTCGCGATACATAAGAAACTTTTTTTTGGTACCAATAAAAATAAATAGTTTCTTGAGGATTATAAAACATCAACATGTATCTTATCATTTACCATTAATCATATTTTATATCTATTTCTTTCTTATATATTATTGAATTTATACTTGATTGTGTTCTTATTTCGTAAGATGTATTTGTCTATTGGAACATTGTTTATTATGTTATTTCTGATAACATATCAAGTTCAATTGAGCACTCTTCTAAAAAGCTTTAATAATCTGTTTATGAATACTTATCAAGAAGCTTGTGCTTATTTTTTAACAGTAATCGATCCATTAATGATTACAAATGCAGATACATTAATATTGAAATATTGAGGTCAACAAGCATCTATGAATACTAACCTACAATCAATCATAATCTTAAAACTATTTCACATACTATCTTTGCAATCTAACGGGCTCCGCAGAATAAATAGCCCTCTCAGTATTTTGACTACAACTTTTTATACATTCATCCTATCGAACTAATTTATTTTTAAACGATGTCTTATGAAATGCTCTACAAAATCATGTAGTTTATTTATTGTAAATAATCACCATTATTTTTCGATAAACGATACAATCGATTAGTCCAACTAGTGCAACTTTCCAATGCCACTTCCTATCTTATTTTTTAACACCATGTTTTAATTTATCAATTAAGGTTTTTTTTTATTTAATTTTATCCCAATTTATTTGTTGAACTAATCCATTTTATATACAATAATCCAAAGGATTGATATCAGGACTATTTGGAGGCCAATGATCTTTATCGATAAAATTTGGAAAGTTGTTCTTACACCATTCGTGTGATAAATGATGTATATGTAACTTTGCACTGTTCTGTTAGTAAGTCCAGTTGCTCCCAAAGAATTTATCTCCATATTTTTTTAGCCATTGGCACGACTTCCTTGATGTAACGTTCATGATCTAAAGTTCCTTCATCGAATATAATCAGTGGTGTTGCACCTTTGGAACATACTCCTAACCAAATCATTACTTTCTTTGGAAAACTTTGTTCTCGTTTAATACCACTTTTCGCATCAGCATCAATACGGTTAATTACCCATATTCTATCATTTGGACCATTACACATTTCATCTAAATCAAACATTTTTGCATCCGAAAAGAAAAAGAATTTTCAATTTTTCTTCTTTTCGAAAATGACGTCTTATCCAATTTGCAAACCTAATTTTTTTGTCCTTGTGAATGTCAATAAGTAACGGCTCAATTCGCTTCTTATAGGGTCGAGGTTTCAGATCATCTTTTAGTATTCATCGGACTGATCGTTCAGAAATATCCAATTTGTTTGCTAATATTCGGGATGATATTCTTTTTTTGACGTTTTAGCCGATTTTTTCACCTTTTGCATCATTTCTTTGGTACGAACGATACAAAGGCAACTGATAGGACTTGATAAATTAATTGAACCAGTCTCTCCGATCATTTTGCACTATCGCTTAATCATTCTATGACCAATAGCACTATTCAATTGATGAAATATCATCATAGAAGTATCACGATATTTGTACTTGGAAAGTACAACTTTTTGTAAGTCTTAACTTTTCATGTCTGTATCTAGAGAAAAAAAAATGAGTTATAGGATGTTGTAGAGAATTTCACGAGGCATCTTTAAAAAAAACCCAGCTCTATAGGATGATGAACGCTTAGAAAGTTATGATCAAAATACTGAGAGAGCCATTTATTCTGTCGCACCCATTATTTATGTCTTTTTATAAATGAGTCAAATAATCGAAATTTTTCATCTAATGAATTGAGTAGACTTAAATCATATTTACGCAAAATTCGTATTGTTCGAAAATCTTTAAATAATTTCGGATTTTTCATTGAATAATGGAATCTTTCAAATACAATTTGATATTAGTAATTTATCAATTAAATTTCTTCGTTTTTTAATTCAATCAAAGCAATTAAATATTACAGCATTAAGCGAATTTTATCGTTTCAATATATACAAAATTATTTAATGAAACAGAACAAACACTGTTCCAGCGCTTATTATTGGACGAAAATCATCACATGAGGTTTTTTTATTAAACAATATTTTGAGAAATTACTTGATGGCAAAGCTCTAGAAGGAACAAGACTTTTATATGCGGAGAATGCAGTAGATGAATAAGGAGCATTAAATAGTCTTGGAACATAGTTCCTTGATGCTCATGTAGCTCAAGCATTTTTCGATGATGAAACACGATTACATCGAGATCTTCTAATGAATGAAGTTAGTATATATATAAACATTATTTGAATAAGAACAAAACTATAATATTTTTAATTATTTTATTGAACTGTTTAGATACTAGAAATAATTGAAAACGAAAAAGAAAACCTTACAATGTCTGCTTGTAAAAAAAAAAGAACACTGCAGAAGAATGAACATATGTTCATATACACACAAAAAAAAAATCAGAAAGATATAAAGAAAAAGAATCAATTAATTATTATTCGGATAAATTAGATAATGTTACAATTAGGTCGAGCATTAAGTCGACGTGTACCATCCATTTCCACACCTGTTTTCTTATCTACACACCAGCAATATCGTTCGCTTTGATCACATTGTACAGATGCATATAAACCATTAGCATCACATACCTATTGATATCGAAAAAAAGAAAATTAATATTTATATTAAATTTTAACAATAGTCGTAATCTTTAATTTTGTTTTTGATAAAAGAATAACTTAAATCTACTCTTCAGCATACGCAAAATATTTTGAATAAATTAATAACATTTTCTTTTTATTATTTTTCAAATAAATATACTTACAGGAATAAGAATATGATCATCAATAACCTTGGCATTGCGAACTTGTTCGAGATGTGTTAAACATAATGATGAAGATATTCCATAAGGAAATGAAGTACCATTAGCTTGTTCAATAATTGCTCGATGTAATAAAAATCGTTCTATTTTAATGAAAGAGAAAAAAAAACAGAATATTTTAATTTTATTTAACAGTATTTCTAAATACCTGGATGAAGTTGTTGATAAACACCAACACATCGAAGTTGATCACGATTTTGAATTGATACTGTTGGTCCAATTAATTTACCATTTTCATCAACACATGAACAATAACGACCATCACATTGAATAGGAGCATAATTTCCATTTAATAAACATAATAAATGATGACCAATCATACGAAGACTTGATACTTGATATAATTCGACAGCACAACCTATAATTATCGAAAGAAAAAAAAATATTATTTTTATTTCTTAGATCAAAATAAAAAACACATATATACCGCAATTAACATTTTCTTCTGGTTTTGATTCAAATCCATTAATACGAATACCAGTAGGTGTAACACACCAACATTTCATTTGTGATATATCACATTGACGAGCATAAAATGATCCATCTGATGAACATTTTGGTCCAGATGCATTATAAAATTTTGCTTCATTCATTAATTCCCAACATGCTTGACTATTAAAGAAAAAACAACAAGATCTTTTATCTTAAATTTTTTTTGAAATTTACCGTGAAGCACTATTTGGATCAGGTAAACATGAACATGTTTCACATCCATCAGAATTTAAATAGGATCCATATTCACATTGACAATTAGATGATATTGATACACATGGAGCACTACCACGAAATTTACACTGACATGTTTGACATCCATCAGCATCAGTTACATAGCCTAATATTCAAAAATACAAAAAAAAACAAACTTGTTTTCTATTTTATGTTAATTTTCTTTATCTATTCACCAAGATGACATGGAGGACATGAAACAGGAGTTGAACAATTAACTTCCGTTGTATTTATTGTTGGTAATAAACAATCACATGTTGGACAATCATCTTCATCTTTAACTGAACCATATTTACATGATCCAAATGTACAATTAAGTACAGGACATTCTTGACTATTAGGTCGAATACATACACATGTATCACAATTATATTCATCTTTAACTGTACCAAAATAGCATGGCTCACAATTTAATTGTGGACAACGTTCACCTAATGGTGGATATGGACGATTTTGACATTGGCAAATAGGACACTAGAAAAAAAAAATGAAAAAAAATTATGTGTCTAAAAATCATTTTATATAAAGATATATACTCCATAAGGATCGGTATAATGCCCATATAGACATTCTTGACAAGTTAATGTTGGACAGATAATGTTTGATTTATTTGCTTGAATGCAATTACATGTTGGACATCCATGAATATCAAATTTGCGAGCAAAAGTACAATAATCAAATGGACAATCTTTTAGAACTGGACAATCAGCAGATACGGTAGTTGTTGATGTAGTTGTTTCAGTAGTAGTTAATTCGATTATAGTTTCAACTATAGTAGTACTTCTTTCATAATCTGTATTGACTAACATAGTAGAATCTTCGACATGAAGAGATGTCATAGATTTATTTAAAATTTCTTTTTCAGTAGTTGAACTAACAGATACGGTTGCAGGATTAACTACAGTGGTAGTATGCATATTGACATCAGTCGATTCATTCTTTTCCAATAATCGAGTAGAAAAACTTTGTGTAGTTTCTGGATTATCCGGTAAAACTTCTGTTGTTGTTTCAGTCATAACCGCTTTATCCAATACAAACACTGGAGCTTCTCTATCAACTGTTTCATTTGCAACAGGTTCTAAAACTATATCAATCTCATGAATATATAATATCCTTTGTTTATAGTTTAAAAAAAAAGATTTCAATCTCGAAACATGATTTAGCTATCTCTCAAAAAAAAAGATCAATTTTTGTCAAAAATATAAAAAGTGAAATAAATATATGAGAAGATAGTCCGAGATCTAATCTTTCATAAAAGATATGTTTTTTTTTCTGATTTGACACTTCATTTTGTTCAAAAATTTCCATCATTTTATTTGAAAGAGCATGTCAAAATGCAAGGCATGACAGAGTTCTTGTTTTGAATTAGGTTTTTACTACTATTATATAAAAGACCACTTTTATAATTAAAGTGCCGTTTTTTGAGACATTGAACTTTTCTTTCCTTAGAAAGGAAGAATTTAAAAAAACACATGTTCTATCATGCCCTTTTAAACAACGGAAAACTAAGTATATAGAACGAAGGCTCACAGAGAATTTTAGGTTGCCAAATATCTCCTAAAAAAGTCATGATATAAGTCTGAAAATTTTATTATAGCTTTTCTACTATAGTCCCAACATTTTCTGAAGATTTTATGCGATTTGAATTACTATTTGTTTCTATCGAAAGTATCTATAATATTTTTCAATGAATGATACAATTAAAGTCTCTTTGATGTAACTTTTGAATTCCTATGGAAAAAAAGTTTATAAAGAAGAACGCTTAAAAAAACCTGTTCTGAAGATTTTTTTTGCGTTTCTTGCGTGAAAAAGTGCGTTCTGATAGTCTTAGCATACGATGATCAAAGAAAATTAAAAGTATCTTCAGAACGCATTTTTAATCATTCTTTTTCATAAACTTTTTCCATGGATTACTAATAGAGAATGACTGTTTGCTTACCATTTTGTTCGACACTAGTTAGATTTGTTTGATTGGATTGTTCGCTAGATGATGTGTTCATTGTAAGTGCAACAATCTGTTTGGTTTTCATTGGTATTGTTTCTTCGAGTTGATTTTCATTTGTTGAATTTGTAGTCACATTATTGTAATATTCTTCAAGAACTTCTAATCGATTTGTTCGATTTGTACGTGTAGTAAAATCAAATTCAGGCATTGGTGTTACTGTAACAATTTCTTGTTCAATAACTCGCAAATATGCTAAATTAAAACATAAAGAAATAAAAACAAATAAACAATAAATTATCTACTCGTTTCAAAAATTTTTTGGCTACTTGTCTCAGCTGGTTGTTCAACAGTATCACTTTCAACAACTTCTGGTTGAAAAGCAACGGGTACACATTTTTCTATAAACAAGTTAATATGTATATGAGAAATTGAAAAAGAGATCTGTTGTTTTTTTTATAAATACTTGGATTATCATTAACAATGAAATCGTCTGGATTAATTGAAGAACAATGAGATTTTAACCATAACATTGTATCATTTTCATGTTTTTGTTCATTATTTTGAATAACAAAATGTTCACTTTGATTATGAACACAAACATCAGTTTGATTTAACTCAATTGAATAGCAAAGCATAAAATGTATCATAGCTTCATCAATAAAAATTATTTCAAGAAAGCCTTATTATATAAAAAATAAAATAAAACAATGAATAAGAAAATATTTGTATATCAACTACCTTTTTCATTTGACCAATAAACAGATACTCGATTTGGTTTTGTATTTGATACAATCTGACCTTTTTGAGAATTAACACAAGAACCATTGCTAACAAAAAAATAATTAAATTAAACAAATCATTCGTCAGAAAAACAAATGAGCGAAAAGAAAAAAACACATTTAGGATAAAAAAAATAATTACCTATTCTCTCGAATAAATTCTAAATAAATTGTATCATTCATTGTTGTTGACGTTTGCATAAGAACATTGTTCCATGTTTGTTCATCATAGATAAATTTACTTCGAGCTAATACAAACCAATATCGATCGGTATTTAAAAGCTAAATTTATAAAATAAAATAATTTTCATGATAATTTTCAAAAATTTACTTCAAATAAATTGTTATTGTCAGTTAATAAATCATTTTCATTACATAAAACATTAGATTGAGAGTCGGAATTATCAACATCAGTAATATTATTGATGTTATAAACTGGATTTCCGTATGACTTAACAATAATCGTGAATATAATAAAAATAATTGAAAAAAATGAGAACATCTTTGTTCAGTTTTGTATTTCAATGATATGAACTTCTTAATAATAAAGTTCAATCTTTACGTTGATGGCGATCGACAAGTAATGGAATAGTAATGCGCACACACGCACAGACAATAGAAAGAAAAGGTCAGTGTATTAAGCAGATGTTCATACTAATGAATATGATAGAATAGTAGAAGTGCTTGAGAAAATATACCAATAATTGAACACTGACCCAGACAACTTCCCTTCCAGAAAGGAAAAGAATATTTCCTTTTTTACTCATCACCGTCATCAGATATGCTTATTAGACATGCGAGTAGACAGACATCACTCTTTAGGGGTCAACTAATGAAAAGAAAAGAACAGGATATGATCGACTAGTCGGTCATCTAGTGCTCAAGAGAAAGTACCATAAATGAACGCATTCCTATAGCTTTTTTCCGCTCTAGGATTGTATATGATCAACCAAAGATGTTTATATTTATAGACCAAAAAGAAAATTATTGAATTTTATTTTAATTTTAAAAATCTTGATTAAAGATTTTTAAATTGTTCGAAATTTCAGTTATATGATTATTTATGTTAACCTTTGTCTCGATCATTGAAAACTTGATGCACATTGAAATGAAATAACTAACATTCAGGTGCAAGGTTAAACCTTGGCATATTTCTCAAATCAATAGTAATAGTAAATCGTTTTTTTTTTACGTTGTTGTATACCCACGTACACTTATATTCATACATATACGTGGTTACACAATTCATCTCTTTCATTTCTTCGTTTGTACACAGACATTTATATATATGAGGTAGGAGTTCAATGATTTTCTTCTTGTACATTGGTTAAGTTCATTGATCAGTGAAATTTTTATTATATAATAAAAAGAATTTTTTTTCTATTATATGCTTTATCATAATAGATCTCATGGCTTCTTAGTGAAGAGATAAAAAAAGAAGAAGTACATCATATAGAGTGAAGAGAAAAAAACGAGTACATGAAAAGTAATACAAGATCATATATAAGATAGTTCCAATCACGAATGTAGAAAGCAAATAAAGAACAATAAAATAATCAAAAACGAAACCAAAGCTCAAAAACATGAACATTCTAATCTGACATCAATTCAAACATATACATTCTGCCTTAAGAGTTGTGACACGCATATTTCTTCTACAAGACTGATAAAAAAACCCACTGATGAGTTAAATTTAATGTATTTGGACTCATCATAAGAACTTCTTCAAAACATCTTCAGTTGAGCCATAAACGATCGCGTAGAGTGTGTTCATCAGTGATAGAAAAAGAAGAAATGATCGAACCAATTAGTAAAACCATATACAAGTTTTAAATTATAGCAAAAAAGCTTTTTGAAGGGTTTCCTGTTGAGGAGTAATGAAATGGGGAAAAAAGGAAAAATGAAACTATAAAAAATTTGACAATGTAATTGAATAGCAATTCGCTGTTCGTAATTAAATAAGATTTTAAGCAAAGGAGCTAGAGACCGAATGTTAGTCAAAATATGATAAAGAAACGATCCATAAGGAGTACGAACATGAATTTCATATCCAAGATATCGAAAATCCTTAACACGCAATAAACGACATCCTGCATTAAAAAAAAAGTATTAGATCAGAGATGCCAATTTCAGATTCTGAAAACTTGGTAAACTGTTTTTTGTAAGATTTAAGTCAACAAGCCATAGTTTGCAGTAGACTGAAAGAAAATTAAGCAATAGTTGATCTTTGTACTTGAATCAATGAAGAGATTCTCGAAAAGATATCCATAACAAAAATTGTCACATATATTTATAGTCTGGTCTGTGTAAAAATAAAAAATAATAATCCGTTAGAATTAATAGATTTGAACAATGAAATCTTCCTTCATATTATACTATAACTTTATTTTTCCGATATTTTAAAGTTAGAGCCTCATGTCATCTCGTTTTTTTTGCAATCGATAGTAATAATTGTTCTTTTTGTAATAAACCAATTGCAATGTAAATGTTTGGATGTGAAGAATTCACATGTTTTTTCATTTGCAAATGTTGATCTTCCAAATAGTTAATAATACGCAGTGTTATATTACATTTGGAAAATTTATTAGAATTATGTTCTATTAATAAATTGATTGTCGCAATGACTGCTCATTTCTCTTCTTTCAAATAATCAACGAACAGTAAATTATGCACATAATTTGATTGTTTCTAATATCTGAAAGATAACACATTTAATGTGTTTTTTTTTTGTTTTTTCAGATGTTATTTTCTATTCTTATTATCATCGTTACTATTTTCTTTACTCAAGGACGACTGAATGAAACTATTATTCGTCAAAATCGTCCTCTGTCACCAGCATTCTTTGATGAAATAATTGTTGATGGTGCTTTTGATATATCTCTAAGTCAATTAAATGGTATATCTACTCCTACTGTTGAAATTGAAGTAGCTGTTTACGCTCAAAAATATATTACTGTTGAAATTCTTGATAAACATATTCTTTCAATTCGTGTTAAAGGTCCATTAGTTATTCATAAAAATATCAATTGTTATATACGATTTAGTTCACCATTAAAACGGTATACAATTAAAGGTACAGGTAATACAAAGACAGATGATAATGGTATAATAAATACAGATAATGAAAAATTTGTATTGGATAATCGAGGTACAGCTAATGTTGCTATGCAATTAAATGTTAATGAATTTGAATTTTATTTATCTGGTACGGGTAATAGCCGTTTTTGGGGTCAAGTACGAGAAGAAGCTATGTTCGAAACAAAAGGTGTTGGTGATGTTAATGCTATGAATTTATTAAGTAAACAAGTTAAAGTTTATTCGGCTGGAGTTAGTACAGTACGAGTCGCAGCTACAGATGATGTTCAAATTGAAGTTACTGGTGTATCAACTGTTTTCTATCGATTACCAGTTGGAAAAGATCCAAGTAAAGAAACATCAACTGGTCTTGGACAAATTATTCGTGTTTCTTAATGTTAATAATTATAATCATTATTTAGTTAAACTCTATAAATTATTATTGTAGAAAATATTTATTTATAAATAAAATTATTTAATAATATATATAAATAATAAAATTATGAAGCAAAAAAAAAAGATACTTGTTCTATAACTGTAGTAGTAAAGCGACACATTCTTTGCTGTAATTGCTTTAACTAATTTCCAACATACATAGGTAAAAATTGGATTCAAAGTCGATCATGTTGACTACACACACAGTTTTCTATAGTTGATAATTTAAGAAAAAGAATACAAATGTTTCATACAAATTCTGCAATTCTTCCACCCAGGGTACCCACTTGATGATGAAAAATTTTGCTCGTCAATCAGAATTATTACTTTTCTTATTCACCTAAAGAGTGATTCACCGTTTGTTATTATATGTGGCCTATTGTATGTTTGCGAATTGCACCACATTTTGACATTTCTACGGCAATTATATAAAAAGAGACGAACTAAAAACATTACTCGTTATTTTTTTTTCTCTATTATAAACATCGTTACATTTCTCAAAAATAATGTCAACTGCGACAATTCCATTAAAACGTATTACTTTATATAAAAATGATTTAGGTTATTTTGAACGAACAACTCCTAGTTCAAAATTACCATCACTTATTCTCGTTGCTAAAAAACATAAGAAATTAGTGATTGATACATTATGTACAACAGCTAGTACAGTAACATTTGATACAGAAGAACATGATAAATATGTTACTGAAAATACAGTTGAACGTTTTTTTGCTTTTAATGATTTTTCATCATCAACTTCATTTGCTAGTTTTCTTAGTACATGTATTGGAGCTGAAATTGCATTATCTATTCAAGGTGATAACAAAGAACAATTAGGTAAATTAGTTATGCTTGATGAAAAACCAACATTACTAAGTCCAAATTCAACTCAAACAACAAATCATTATATTCTTCAAGTTTTGAATAAAGATGGATTTATTCGTCATTTTGATCGTAAGTAAAAGCTTATATAAACTTTTACAAAACAGAAAATAATCAAATCCTGTTTATTTTGATTAGTTGCTTCTATCAGTGGTATTAAATTCACTGAGGTATATTTACAAGAACAACTTGATAAAGTCTTAAAACAAACATTAAACAATCATAAACCATCATTAAATACAACTTCTGGCTATGTTCGAATCTTGTTTAATAGTGATAATTTATTAACATCTTCAAATAAACCTATAACTACTACTACAAATACTTTTGTTGAATCAAATATACTTAATGTATCTCATTGTTATCCAACAAAAGAATGGCGTTGTTTATATCGATGTGAAATTGATTCATCTATAACAAACAGTAATACTTCAACAGTTGATCTAACTTTATTTGGTTCAATTAATAATCCAACAGAAGAAGATTGGTCTCAAGTTGAACTCATACTTGTTGCTAATGAACTTGAAATTTTAAATAATAATAAAGCAACAACTACAACTACTATTAATCGTGAAGAAACAGAGCGTAATGACCAAAGATCATCGGGTGGTATGCAAATTTTCATTAAAACATTGACAGGCAAAACAATTACAATAGACGTATGTATATATATAACAAAGGATTTGTTTAGTTGTTGATGATCTATTATTCTTGGGTTTTTTTTGTCAATAACAGGTCGATCCATCAGCTACAATTGAAAATGTGAAATCAAAAATTCAAGATAAGGAAGGTATTCCTCCAGATCAACAACGTATGATATTTGCTGGAAAACAATTAGAAGATGGAAGAACGTTAGCTGATTATAATATCCAAAAAGGTAATTATTGACATATATAGATATATAGGGTAAACAAAGAAGAGTTCTATATGTTTTGTATATATATATATATAGAGTCTACTTTACATTTGGTACTTCGATTACGTGGTAGTCCAGCGGATGAAAGTAGTTCAACTGCTACAAAACGAGGAAAAGGTCTGAATACTACAAAGGTTGTTGTTGATGATGATGAAAATTATGAATCAATTGATTCAAGTCAAATGAGTGGTCTTAGTGAACATGTTGTATATAAAATAAATACACCAGTAACTATTCGATCACATGAAAGTGTTTTAGTTGTAATTAATAAATGGCAAATAGATGCACAATTAGTACTTTATTATGATCCAAAAATGAATGATTTAAATGCAATTAAAGCTGTTCATTTACGAAATAATAGTGATGTTGTTTTAGCACCAGGAAGTATTGCTGTTTTAGATAATGGACGTTTTGTTGCTCAATGTGCATTTACACCAATGTTACCTAATGATGATCAATTAATTAAGTAAAATAATTTTTCTTTTATTATTTCTTTTTCATTTATTCAATTTTTTTTTTGATTTCTCATAGTTATGGTTTTGATTCAACTGTATCTATTCTTCGTACAACTCCAATAACACTTCAAGAAGTTCATACAAAAAGTGTTGATATAATTTATGCTGAAATTGATAAAATTAATACAAATATTACTCCAACTGGTATTGATCTTCAACAAATTTATTTAAAACGTACACGTTATTTAATTAAAAATAATTCTTTAAATCGTCCAGTAACAAAATTTTATATTGATCATGTTGCTGATCCATCATTAGGTGGTTATGTTGTAACAACACAAAAGAAATGTATTAAATCAGTTATGGGTTTTAGTCGTTTCGAATTAAAACTTGAACCACAACAAGAAATTGAATTTATTGTTGATGAACAAGCAGAACATAGTAAAAAAATCTTTGAAGCATCAGCACTTGAATCATTTTTAGAAAAACAAGTTCCTGAACTTCTTCAATTGAAATTAATCGATGAAAAAACAATTAATTTAATTCAAAAAATTATTACACATAAATATGTTCAACAAGTTCTTCGACATATGATTGATAATACAATAACAGATAGTCAAATTCGAACATGGACACCAAAACGAGATTTACTACCAACATCATTATTTGATAAAGCTGTTGCTATTGTTGATATTCAACTAGCTTTACGTGAACTTGACAAAACAATTAAATCACTTGAAGCACATATTAAATCAATATTTGAAAATCAAGAACGTATTAGACAAAATATAAAATCATTAGAAAAAATTGATAAATCTGATTTAATGATACGTTATTTAAAAGATTTAAATACAGAAGAAGATGATTTACAACAAACACGACGTGAAATAAAAACAATGCAAGATGAATATAATCAAAAACAACGAGAATTAGAAGATAAACAAGCATCACTTAAACATGAAGCAAAAGAAATACAAAAAAATCATCGCATGTAACTTTCGGTTGTTTTTTCACTGATTTATAGTAAACTAGAAATTAATATTCACTGATCAAATATGACATTTTTACCTTAGATCAATCTTAATAACAATCGCTTCTGTTTAATCTAAACTATTTTGAATTGTAATAAAATTTTTAATATCAATATCGATTATCTAATAAATGAGATCAGAATTAATCAAATGACTATACTCTTACATGCACATTCTGAATAGACTATTCAGTTTTTTTTATAGTAATGAATTGAATAGGGTTGTAGTTTCAGAAATATGAATATTTAGCAGAGAAATTTCCTTTTTTGGAAATCTGCCCACTGCTGGAAAATAAAAACCTTTACGTAGACTAGAAAGTATAGAACAATTTGAATAGACAACATAAACTTAAACTTAAACAGCATAATCATATTGATTATATCATTCTAACTTCATAATTCTAATCATACAACCATATAATCACTTAATTAGGATATAGATATTGATTTGACTTGAGTGTATAATATTCTCAATTTTCCGTTTCAATTGCAATTATTACATTGTCGGGAAATCTGTTAGTATTTTTACATTGAGTTAAAGGTATCATAATGAAGGTTCATGGATAGATGATTACGTTTAAAGATGATACACATTGCGATTATATAATTAAAATTACAGTAAAACTTCTACAATGTGTACATCGTCGGGACCGACAAAGGTCGTTCAGTATAGCAGAATCTTCATGAAGGTGGGGTCAAACAAATATAAATAAAAACAACCAGTTTTACCACTTGGTGCCTCCTTTTAAAATGCTTTGTATTATTCTATTAAATAGTTTTTGACTTTCAATATTTTAAATTTTTTTTTTAACTAGACGGATTTCAAACTTTGCGTTCAGATCTGACTTAATAAAGATTTAAAAACTATTATTGATGGTTTGACAAAAATCATGATTCCCCTTGCGCTTCATCTTTTTGTTTAGATCAATTTCATAATCAGTAATATATTCATTTTTTTTCCTCTCAAAAGTATTTTTACACAAAACTAATGGATACTTGAAAGTTATCTTGTTATTCATGATGAGAGAAATTAAGTTCTTTATCTTTGATTAAATACATTTTTTTTTGCTCTAAATCAAGAGCATTGTAAGATATCATGTCTGATAGACAAATGTTGAGAGGTTACTCAAAACGAGAACGATATCTGTTTTGTCCATTCTTTTTTCTCAATTTCGTTGTCATTCAATTACTATTTTCAGTTACGGAACAATAACTTTTATTAAATATTATAATGAGCAAGAAATTCGTTTTAAATAAACTAAAAATATTATGTATGTACAAAAAGACAAAATAAATTTTAATATGAATTATGTATAAATGTAATTAAAAATATGTTGAAATTATTTCTTCATCATTTTCAGAATCAGAAACATCCAAAGGAAAATTCACTAAATAATCAATAGAATTTTTTGAATCTGGATCATCATTGTTCATTTTATATGATTTTAAATCATTTATTAATTGTTCGATTTCAATTTTCATTTGATCAAAATCATTATTATCCACGTCTGATGATGAATGAGGTAAGTTTTTAAGATCTCCATGAAGTTGATTAGCACGTTTTCTATATGACAAAAGATTTTTAATATGTTCACTATTGTTCGATTTTGTTAATGATTCAATTGCATCAAGTGTAGTTTCAATATGAGATAATTGTCGACTATAAAGTTTAAGTAATTTTTTATCTTTTGAACTTAATTTTAATTTGGATTTTTTTATTGATGATAATGATGAAGACGAAACCTTCTTACGATGACTCACTGCTACTGGATGCGTTCCACTTGTATGAAATAGTGAATGGTGAGACGAAGATTTTTCATCTACAAGTTTTGATACAGATAGGCTATCTTTATATGCTGGATCTTTGGCTGCAAACAAATGACTTAAATGTTCTGAACCCATTTGTTCTAATCTGAAAGAAAAAAAAAATGATACAAGATAAATATACAAAAGAAAACGAATGAAAATACAATAGTATCACATAACTTTATCCTTCTCCTTCGATTCATATTTCGTTATTTGCTTTTTTTGTTGTCAAACCTTCGTTCATTCTTACAAATGTAAAAGAGAGATCTAATACCAGAAGAATAAAATCAGTGTATTCTATATATACACATATTTGAATACATAACTTTGATAGATGAAGAATTTTTCGATTTTTAATAGAATATTTCATTCATTGATCCCCGTGAACAACAACTGCAAATAGAAACAGTTAAATGTTTTTTATAAATACATAAAACTGAATAAAATGCAATGCACGATTACTATTCGTGTTTTGTTTTATTTTTCTTTCTTTCTTTCTTCCTTCCTACTAACGTCAACAAATTAACATATCAAACTACAATAGAATGTATATTATGTGCATGCTTATACTTTTTATTTCGGTAAAAATAGAAGAAGAGCAAATAGAAAAATAATGATAACGACGTAAGAAGGTTTATTTAGTGTAGACAACGAGTGTGATGAAGTCGAAATGGGTGTTGGCGATGTTGTAGTTAACATGCTACGACATTGAGTGAAATCTGGTAAACCATCAGTTGGACGAGGAATTTTAGCTGAAGGTAATGACCATGGAAGATCTTCACCTAACAATGGTTTTGAACCAAATACTTGTAACCATTCATATTCAGTTATATTATAAAAACGTTCATAAGTTCCATCTCGTTTAAGAATTTCACGTGTTATATCAATTAAATGAGAACTAAGCATAGCAACGACTGTTGTTATTTTTGAATCCCATGTTATAACTGGTGATATAGATTTACCATTAATATTAGTTGCTTCTGTACTTCCATACATATTTTGCATAGCTGGACCTTGTAGCATATTTAAATACCAAGCTAAACCTATTGATTCATTAGCCATAATTACAGGAAAACTTGCATATGGTGTAACGACTGATTCATGTTCAATTGGTTGAAATGCAATTTGTTGAATACCACATGCACTCCAATAATCAACTTGATAAGTACCAGGTTTAGCATCTGATGCTACACTAGCATACAAACCTGGTATATGATTTTGTGCTGAATGATATACACGTACTTTTTCTCCATTAGTAAATAGACGTTTTTGAAGATCAATATCTTGATAAGGTAAATAGAAATATTTCCATTGTTCATGACTTGAAAACCAAAAACCACGTTGAACAGTTACTTGTTTTTGTGTAATATTAATTGATTGTATACTTGTATTATATTCATCACGAACAAGACGAGCACGTTTATATATCCAAATACGATCACGTTCTTTCATTGTATAATTATATAATGTCCAAGGAGCATATAAATCCATAAAATATGCCATTAATTCACCTATAAATAATAAATAAATAAATCAAATTGATATTGAAAAAAAATTTAAAAAAAAAGTAAAAATGAATTTCGAATAAATACCTTCATATGGATCATCTAATAAACAAGTACCTCTTGTTACATAATTATTTGGATTTGTTATTTGACTTTCATTAAACATATCTAATATACCTGATTCACATCGAATACCACCTCTTTCTGCTTCATAAAATACTGCAATTGATGTTTGTGTCATAAGTTCAATACGTTCTTGATATTTATCAGCTAAATTAAATAAGTTTTTAGCTTTAAGTGTTTCAATTAAAATTTTTATGCTCCATATTAATTGTCCATTATCAAGACCAGGTACTTTAGATTCCCATCCATTGAGTAAATTCATTGATGAACCATTAGCAGCAAACCAAGGCAAAAAACCACCGAAACCAGGATAACGTCGATGAAAATCATTATATGATGCAATTTTTCTTTCTAATATTTGTACAATATCATCTTGTGATGCATTACCAAAAAATTGTCGACCATATATATTATCCATGAAATATAATGACAACATATTAATATGAAGTGCTTCTTTTGATGCTGCCGTCCAATATTGTAAATTTTCATGTAAATCACCTGTTGTGTAATCAATTTTGTGACCATCATATGTTATACCTGTTTCATGATTATATCCAACTCCATAGCCAAATCTTCCTTCCCATAAACACATATGCATTTTAAATTGATGAATAGCATCATTTCGATTATAAACAAGATCATCAATAGTAAACAAATCTGCAAATCGACATGTTGTTTGTCCTTGTAGAAATCCTATATTTTGGACAAAAACAAAGGCAATAAATAAAAACACCTTTATGAACGCCATAACATTATCAAAATGTTTCTTGCAGGCTTCGATAACTATACTATTTATTTTTTTTCTTATCTAGACAAATGTCAATTCAAGTACTTTTTTATTTATTGACAAAAGACTATGTTAACAAACAACAAATCCTAATGTATTTCTACAGCTAGAAAAAGAAAAAGAAAGAGATAACAAATAACAAGTTATATCGTTAAAAAAACCGGTGAGGAAAAAAGAACAAAAACAAAAAAAAGATCAAGAAAAATTTTAAATGTAAATACCTTATTACTACATTTTACAACACAGAAAAGAGTAATCAGTGCCAATGACTAGGCAATTCACAATTTAGATTGTTTTTTTTTTTGAAATACATCTGACACACATTTAAACTAAAGTATCTACATTATTAGACAAAGGAAAAAAAAAGTTATCTTAAATTTAATCTGGACGTTTTTGCATACTAGGCGGTATATCAAATGGATTGAGTGTAACTGGCATAAATTGATATGGATTTGTAACGAATGATGTACTTACTGATGGAAGTTTTTTTGGACGTTTTAAAACTTTTGGAACTTTCGGTGGATTTAATAATTTCTTTTTATCGTTATATAATTTAACAAGTGCACGTTGTTCTTGTAATAAAGCTTTTTGTTTTTCTTTTTTTGTTCGTGGATCAAATTCTTCATCATCAAGATTAATATCAGCTATTTCATCTTTTGAAACAGGCATATCAGTTAATTCTTTTAATGGTGGTAATTCAGCTGCTTTACCAGGTGGAAGTGGTGGAGCTTCCTTTGGAAATAATAATTCTGTTAAACGTTCAAGACCACGAGCTTCGTGTGCTGTTGATATACCAGCACGAGCTTGTGCACACATTGGTGGAGGTGGTTGATATGGATTATAATTATTTATTGGTGGTGCTATTATTAATTTTCGATCTTTTTTGGAATCATTTGATGTTGTTTCTGAACAGTTTTGATTAAAATTTAAATTATCACTATTATTATTATTTTTATTATGTGCAAGATTAGCTAAAGTTTTAGCAACTGCTGATTGATATTCAGCTTGTCGTTCATCTCGTTCAAGTTCTTTAATAGCATAATATTTTTCTTCACGTGTTAATTGTTCTTCAATATGATTTTCAAGTAAAGTATCATGTTCAAGAATATTTTGTATTAATGTTGGATTTTTTTCTACACAATTTCTTAATATAATATCATCTGGTAATTTTTGTAATATATATTCTTGTGGTTCATCTTCATCATTTTTAAATGAATAAAGTTCACGTAATTCAGATTCAGTAAAATGTCGAGCAAGTTGTTGAGCATCGACAACACTAAAAAAAGAAACAAATAGATTTCATTCTTGAAAAAATGATCAATCTATATTATATATCCTCATTTTACAGCAATATCATCATATCCATATGCTGGGTAAAGACAAACTACACGTCAATATATTCAGTAAAGCAAATACCCAACTTGTGCCCCATACATTTGGTTTTTTCTTTGACATGTTGGTCATTGACATTGTGTTCTTGTATTACACAATTTTAGTGCTGAATAACAGATCTTGAAATGGGCCGCCCAGCCCGATGCTTTTATTTTTTTTTACTGAACTTTATACCTCTTTTAAGTGATAGAAATTATTAAAAGAGTTTTACAATAGAAAAACGATGTAGATTTCAAGTATGATTAATACAATCAGTTATAGTAATTGGTTAAACCGATCATATGTTGTGTTTCTACGTAATGTTCTGTAGTGTGTAAACTATGTTAGTTAATTTGAGAATGTGATTAGTAGAAAAAAAAAATGTGTCAAAATTAAATCATTGTCAGGAGTAGGAGCTACAAATAGCACATTGTCTAACTCTTCAACCGTGACTAATAACTGAATTTATGGAAACTATAACATTTTCTGAAACAAAAGGATTATCCTATTGATTTTGTACTATTTTTTCGAGTGAGAACTTCTTTTGATTTTGTCATTCCAGTCAGATAACACAAATTTGAAAATAGTCTGTGGATAGGAAGTAAAAAATTGTTGATGTCTACAATTTGGAGATGAACCTTCAAATTTAAGTTATCCAAACTATTCTTCTTCCATACGATATTCTTCTCACGGATTTACGTCAATAAAAAATTCTGTATCCTAAGATATTGAGTTATGCGTGATGATCATTATTCGATTCAAACACATTACCACATACTTTGTTTGTTCGTTTGAGTCAACAAACAATTCAACTTATCTCGTATTGATTTTATTTCAATTTCGACAATCAGAACTAATCAAACTCATCATGATACGAGTTACCTATTCATAATTACATCGGTAATTATCGAAGTAATCTCCAAATTTCATTGGACAAAGAAACCTTTATAAACAGAGTTTCCTTCGGATCGGACGGGCTTAAACAATTCTCGGGCCAGACCATGAAAAAGTGACCTGTTTCAAGGCTTGCTAGATAGATTTAATCATTTTGTATGGTCTAGACATAGGCAAGATAGTCTGATTCTGGTGGAACCGGAAACAATCGGTCGCGCTTATGTCTTTTTCTTGTCTGTGCATGCCCAACATATTATTAATGAACATGTAAAAAATCTTACCGTTGAGCCATAGCTTGTTTATTAACTTGACGAAAATAAATTTTCTCTTCCATAGAACCTTTACTTAATAATCGATAGACATAAGTTGCCTTTTTTTGACCCAAACGGTACGAACGAAATAAAGCTTGTAAATCC